CTCCGCGCTGGGAACATAAGGATCGGTGATACACCCTTTTTTCACTTGTGCCTTTCAGGTGAACGACAGCCACCCACCGACAAGGACGAAACCGACCCGGGAAACCTGGGCAAAAGCCTTGATATGAATCTGTAAATCCGTGAATGGATCCAAATGAGCCAGCGTTGAGGTGGCGAAACGAACTGCGGTATTGCCTAGTGATGAACTTGGGTGTGCAGCGGAGCAACTGGAAAGCCAAAAATCCCTCGATCGCGGGCGAAACTGGATTACATTTGAACATATTGAGCCTTGAAACCATTGACCAATCATACACAAGCTTTCGGTTTGGTCGACAGCTCACGCGCAAGGCAGTTTGCACAGCATGAATCCCGTTGCTGGCGCCACTCACATGCCGGTTATGGCACCAAACTTACTTGTTGGCCTCCCACCGGTCGCAGCACATCACATGATCCATGGGGTGGCACCTGTTGCCATCCCCCCAGCACCTGCTGAGGTGACTGGCTCTCCAAACAATACACTGTATATCCGGAACTTGAATGAGAAGATAAAGCGTGATGAGCTGAAGAAGTCACTCTATGCAGTTTTCGTTCAGTTTGGTCAGATATTGGACATAATTACCTGTAAGTGTTCTTTTACAAAATATGTGCGTATTTCATATACTGTATATAGCCCTGTTACACAAGATCGGGGCTTTCGCCCAAAATTCCAGGGTTGGTTCTTATCGTTCAGCGGCTTCTGTTCATCTGAAACACACGAGCAAAAAGTGCGTAACACTGCTCTTCAAGTACTAAGAGCGAGGCAGTAAGCACACCAGCACGAGGGCTCGAATATAAAAGCCTCTAATGGAGCCTTGAACTATGTACTAGATGCAGCGTGAACAACCGTCGGAAGAAGGTTATCTCACACACGGGATACCCAGACAGAGGAAACTTTTTGCCCAATGAAAGTGTGCGCATTGAGCTTGAAAATCTTGCTATGTCCTCCCGTAAGGTGGTTTGGTCGACGGTGAGAAACCCGTTAACCAAAACTTGTTCAAAAGGTGTAAATATTAGGTTTCCTCGGAGGCGAAGCTGTTCCGGGGAAAGTGATCAAGCACCGCAAGACGCGTTTCATAATAAACGGATTTAAGGTCGGCAACCGTTTTCGTAGCAGAACGTTGGACACGCTCAACGAGGGTTGCGTCTTTCTTGCTCCTTGAGTAGACAACTTGAGGGTGTATTCAAGAAGCGGCCTGATGTAGGCCCCATGGAGTGTCTGGAAGTCCATGCAAGCAATACGGTGGAAGGATCGTCGAATCATCCATAGGACAGCTGATATCTTCTGACTGATGTAGGCCCATGGAGTGTCTGGAAGTCCATGCAAGCAATACGGTGGAAGGATCGTCGAATCATCCATAGGACAGCTGATATCTTCTGAACCGACTATTCAGAGTGCAGTGAGATGAAGCCAGATATCTGAATCCTTTTTGGTGTCTATCCTCGTAATATCTTCTGGTCAGCTCCCACCACGCACGACCAAGGCGTTCGCTGAGTCTCCTCCGAGTGACATGGATGCACTTTTCGTCATTCAGGGGAGGGTGCCAGTCCAACGACCACTGCTTTGCAGCGTTCACAACCATCTGGAGGGTACCAGCACTTCGACCCTAAGATTTCAAGTCGTCCGCTAAAAAATAGACATAGATTTGAAAGAACATCTGGAGGTCGTTGACGTAGATCGGAACCATGGCAGAACCTTGAGAAACTCTAATGGAGACCGGCGTCAAAGAAGAGTAGGTCGAGCCCACTTTCACTCAATGTTCTGCCTTATAAGAACACCTTAGCGCAGCCTAGAATTTTCCCTTGAATCCCGTATAACTCGAGTTAGTGGAGCAGTGAGACGCGTGGTACTCGATCGAATGCCCTTGAGAAGTCGAAAAACATGGCATCCGTTATGAGACCTTCATCCTTAGTTTGGGTTAAGCTGTCCATACAGATGAGCATGTTGGTTACGCAAGAACTGTTTGGGAAGTCTCGCTGACGACTGCCGCTTCGGGGAATGGGGACTCCGCGGCTCAACTCATCAGATGTTTATAGCACTGGGAGGCATGGCTCACTCATGCAGTCAGTGGCGCTCGTGCACCAAAGCTATCGCCCTCGGCGCGACGGTGCTCATTTTTCCTTCCATTATATCAATATGCAGTACAAGCCAACTGATCATGCCATGGCCTCTAGTATTTGCCCATGCCTCCCACGCCCCTCCATTTCCCGGTGACCGAAATTGTAGCAGATGGAACCAGCGTACCCCCTTTACATGGTTTCTAGCGGATAACCTGAACCGAAGTGAGCTGGACGTGCAGTTTTAAAACGTGCTTCACCGAATCCAGCAGTGATATTAAAAGTTTTAGAACACCATATGCATCTCGGGAGTTGCGTTAGCTCCGACTGCACTGTGACTGACCACAGTTAAACTGGTGAAGGATCTGTGCGCCTTCTGGTCGCACTCCACGTGATTCCAATGGCAGATTGCTGGAAGCCCGGTAGAGTACGGCATGCGTCCGGACTGCCTAGCTACGGTTTCGATTTACGCTGGTCTTGTGCTGTCTAAGGTTTGTAAAGGCCCCTGGGTCAATCCTACATCTGGTGTTTTATTCTAACACGGTACACAACCTAATTTATTTTATTGCTGTTCAGAGATGTAGGACCAGTTTTTTGCTGTTTTCTTTAGGGATATAGGGATTTTTCACACTTAATCCCTCCTGATAGTTTATCGCTTTTTATGGGTGGTTTGGCCCAGTATTTACTCTCGGTGTGTTGCCTTCCATGGCGTTCATGATAAAAAACTATCTACACTTCACTGTTTCAGGCCACTGCCTTCAGTGCATATTTCTATTCCTAACCCATCGTATATTCAATATTTATGAACGAATGTCCTGGGAGCACTTTGACCCCATGAGCATTAAAGGCTCGTCATCATCATCAATGACAGCAACATCAGTGTTGGCACTGATGCTTCACTGCATTAAAGGCTGGAAATGAGTGTTCCATAATCACATCAATGATGACATTGGAGAGGGTTTTTGATAGAGGACAGCTTTACCTGATACCACTTGATGTGGTGAACTCAGGCAAGAGTTTTCCCCAGACCTTTACGCGTCCGTGGGAGCTGGCGCACAGCGCCTTAAGAACGGTCAAGAACTTATCCGAGACGCCTTCGCCCCATAGACAACCATACAGCTTGACGGTGCACCGAATCAAAGGCGGCTTCCAAGTCATGGATGAGCACTATCGTTAGCTGCTGGAGGCAGTTTTGTCGTCCCAGAGTCTGTCGGAGGTGACAATATGATCGCTGCATCCTTCCTTGTGGTACTGCTTGTTCAGGTGTCTCTAGGTGGCAGCATCCGTGATTGCTTGCTGGTGTACTTAGAATTGTGTAGCTCGCACGACCGGCCATCATTTCAGCTCCGGACTGACTTCGTCACCACTTTCTGCTCCTATCTCCAGTCTGCCTTATTAAATGTTGTGAACATACTCCCGTCCTCATTGCAACCGTTTCTGTATGGGGTAGGTTGGGCGTACTGGGAACGTGAGTTCATAGGTTGTTTGATTCCTTAATTTTGGACTTCAGTCGTGGTACTTGACGACAGTAGCTGTGCAATTTAGTTGGTATGACGTAGCCAAATTTCTACTGTTGGTATGTAAGTGCATTACTGCTGTTTTTGGAGATATTTCCTGTTGGGAATTTTTTTCCTTGGTTGTCTTACTGACACTGTTGTCACCAGGATAAACTGGGACTAACACCAACAATGTCTTTAGATGATCCCTGTAAGGGATGCGCTTGTCTTCATCTTGTATGAATTATGTAGGAACACCCTGTCTCCTTCAGTCAAAGTTTTTTGTACATGTGTATTACGGCACGTGCCGTTATGTATTGCCGCGGTAACGTCCATCGAGCTTATATTGACATCCAGCCCTGCTTACTGAATTTCGACCCACGATAAAAGTCATTCCTCAACTGTGTTCTCCGCCGATACATTCTGGGTTACTTAAGCATTTTACTATGCTGATAGCTGATTGGCCAGCTCCTGATGCACGCAGTTTCCCGCACTTCTCATTTATGTTAATCCTGACAGCTTGTTTATTGACCATGTTAAGCAGTGTTTTTCTGATGACTTTCAACGCCCCTGATGTCTCTGTTCCCCTTATTCAGCCCGGACATTGAAGATGCGTGGACAAGCCTTCGTTGTGTTTGACGATGTGAACAGCGCGACTACGGCCCTTCGGGCTATGCAGAGCTTTCCCTTATATGAGAAACCTATGCGAATTGAGTTCGCCAAGGGGGACTCCGATATAATAGCCAAGCGGAAAGGGACTTACGTTGCTCGACCCAAGGCTCTTAGTCGTGCTGCTGCCGCAGCCGCAGCTGAGGCAGCAGCTGCTGCTGCAGCAGCCTTCGATGCCTCTGCAGGTCCGCAAGGTGGAACTAGTGCACGCGCCATCAGAAGACGACAACAAAGAGCCGCAGCCGCTGCAGCCGCTGCTGCTGCTACTTCTGGTGCGGCTGTGCCACCACCACCGAACATGGACGGCGGAGTTCAACCAGCGATCACCCAACCGGCTCCACCACCAATAAATCCTGCTATGATTCCCGATCAGCCGCCGAACAAGATCCTCTTCTTAACTAATCTACCGGAAGATTCGGATGAAGCCATGCTGAGCATGTTGTTCAATCAATTTTCCGGCTATCGTGAGGTCCGCATGGTCCCTGGACGGCATGATATTGCTTTTGTCGAGTTTGGTAATGAGATAGAGGCGGGTGCAGCTAAACACGGTCTTCAGGGCTTCAACATCCGTCCTGGAAGGCCCATTCGAATCACATTTGCCAAGAAGTAGTGGATTATCCTGGCCGCAATCATTTTTGTGTATACCGGTTTTTCTGTACGCCGTAAAAACAATAAACCGTTTGAAAATACAAATACCGTTTACTCTTCTTTCGTGACTTGTTTAGCTCTGGCTGTCGTTTCGAGCGGATATCTCCAAAAGAGTATGTGTATGTTATGGTGTTGTATGGCATTTCCTTCTGGTCTCCTACATTTTGGTATGATTGTGAAGCGCTGGTTCTAAAAATGGGTTGTGGTTTGTTTTTATAAGCTGGCCAAAATGGGAGGACTTAAGTCTATGCTGACCTGTCTGTGATGATCTGTGTTCCGAGTTACATTTCCTGTTGTTATCTTCGCTTTGTGATAACTCATGTTTCTGGTCAGCAACGACGGTATCTGTTTTGAGCGTCAGCTAACTCAGTGGTTAAGGTGCTAACTTACTAACCAGAAGGTCGGTGGTTCGAACCCAACCTCAGCAAATCGACTGTTCCTGTCTAGTCTTAGGCAACCTGATAGTATCTCAGCCCTCATAATTCCTTCGGATGGCATGACAGTTAGGCACCAGAAGGGTGTTATTATTATGTAGGTGATGTTGCCCGGCCAAAAACTGACGAAATCCCTTACTGGACTTAATTCACCAGCGGCGTTGACGGCAACGTCGCGTGAGAACGCGCGGGTTTAACTCGCCCACAAAATATGCCATTCATGTTTGGACGTATACGGGGATACTGAAAGGGCGCCCATATCTAGACAGGAAGACGATTAGTGTCCTCAACTAAAACCTTTGCCACCAAAGCCTAACCGCAATTCATTGGTGTTTGGTTGTTGTCAGAGCGGCCTGCATTTTTGAGGAACAAGTCGCCACGAATGTTCCGACCCCCAAACTGAATTGTCCGGAGACTATTACTCAGACCTCTACCCATTGACCAACCTGGTACGAGGTGCTCTGTGAGTCTCTCATGTATACTCTCCAGTATAGCTCAGTGAGTGCATGTTCATGTAACGTCATACTGCGGTAAGGTCCAGTCTGTTCGTGGCGGACTAAACTTAGAAGATTTAACCCGCGTCACAGCCCTCAATGTCCGCACTCTCCGTCGTACTGGACAACAGACATCTGATGCTGAAACCTTGTTCTCCCTCTATGTCGATGCCTGCTGTGTCTCCGAAACACGCACAGGAGACCCTACTTCGGTATTGTCCCGCTTGGGACGTGCTCAGATTTTTAACGTCCCACTTTTTTGAGCGCCTTGTAGTCCTGATGCAATAGCTCGCGACATCTATAGCGTTCAAGTTGCACTCGTCCCCAGGACTGAAAGCGTCCTACCAAACGTTCGTATTTTTGCCGTACGGATTCCCGATGTAATTAAGGTCAATGAATATCGGTGACCTAAGTGGTGCTTTTTGTCCTATCAGCTTACAGCTGCACTCAGGTTGGGGTTCCGAGACTAAAGACTAAACATGAAACGCAGAATAGCTCAGTGGTTAAGGCGCGAACCTATTGATCAGAAGGTCCGTGTTTGGAACCCCAGGACGACATCTTGGCTGCTTCTTTCTTGGCTTGGCACCCTCAGTCCTCTTGGCTCCTGTGGGTGTCTCGGAAGCTATGCACTGGAAGGGTGTTACAGCTGAGCGCCTTATCATTATCTGAACACTGCATGTTTCTGTCCAGCATGATCTTTCAGGCATAAGCGTCCACGCTGAGTTTCTTGGATGCCCGCAACCACAGACCATCCATGGACACAGCTGGATCCTGTGGCTATCAGCTACCGGTGGAGAGCCACAATTAGAGATAGCCGTTCCTTCTATGGTACGCAACTTGACTCCGGTCATACCACAATGTGGGCCTCGTTATCACTCCTCTTTCCTCAGCATGGTACGTGCGAAGCAGAGCAGTTGGGCTCATTAACATAGGCGAGTTTTAGCATCTCGACAGCATCGAATTGCTCTGGCTGGAAAACTACCGGAGGCTCACACTTAACTAGTTCTGTTGGGCGATTTTATCCAGTTTGTTGATGAACAACTTAACCCTTATTGTAGTCTCCATGTTCTTAGAGGACGATTTCGCTCTATTGAGAAGCTTGAAGATTATCTAGCGTTTCAATGTTGATAATGGTCTTCTAGAGGGGCGAGATGGCTCAAGTGGTTAGAGCGCGAATTTACTGACCGGAATGTCCGTGGTTCGAATCCGACCTCCGCCACTCGACTTCCCCTCTCTAGGCTTGGGCAACCTGACAGTATCCCAGCCCTCGTGCTTCCTTCGGGTGGAATGGCAGCTAGGCACCGAAAGGGCGCTACAGCTGAACGATTATTATTATTATTTAATGGTCTTCTAGAACTTGTTTTAAAGCTATAAACCAAATATTCGACATGTTCCGTAGAGCTTCCCTTAGCTGTCGACTGGAATTAACTTGGTGCGTCCCTTTCACTTCACCCATGGGATTCGGTATTCTAGTTCGGTTGACATTCAGTATATCGGGGTATCTCTCCTCAGAGGTAATGTTGACAGGAACTTTCGGAATCCGATTTTCTTCGAGCATCTCGTCGGGAGGTTGTTCGATTAAAAATCATAATAAATTGTGATGTATTGTTAAGCAAAATCCGTTGCTTTGGTGACCGGCATGTAGTCATTTCGTAGGAGTGATCCGATGAGGATTTCTGAGGTGATTTCCGGCGTGAAATGATGAAACAAGGACAGTACCAGCTGGGGGACTGCTGTTTTATTAGTAATTTATAGGAACGAATTCGACTATTGTGGAGTTTCGCTCTGTGTCGAAAATTACTTAGCTGCTCACATGTCCACTATGCACTCTTAGTGGCTGGTTAAATGGCTTTCTGGAAGTGAAATCATCTTTGGTGTGTTTCCTGTTCTTCTTGTCGTGTGTGATTCCATTAACCGCATGTGCGATCACCTCTCAGCCAATCAAACACTGCGCTCCGTTTCCGACGATTTCGGCGTAAATTAACTGAACACATTCATTACCAAGCTCGATCCGAAGCAGCTCTTTTTGTTTCATTCATGTAAATCGCGGTTGACCATACTTTCCCCGGTGTTCTGTCTATTTGTTGAGTATGGTATCTGCTTGATTATCTGCTGATGCGTAACTTAGTGTTTTTCCTCTATTCTAGCCACCTCTGACACCTGCCTGATGGACATCAGGCCTAACCATACACTGTATGTGAACAATCTAAATGATAAAGTGAAAAAAGCCGATTTGCGGAAAGCCTTATACTATCTGTTCGGGCAGCATGGACGACTATTGGATATTATAGCCATGAAGACAATGAAGATGCGTGGACAGGCGTTCATAATCTATCAAGATGTGCAATCAGCCACCACAGCGTTGCGATCTCTCCAAGGATTTAATCTATTTCAGCGGGTAGGTGTTTCATTTCGGTTCACTGCAGATTGTTGCTGCTTGAAGCTTAGTGAGAGTATGGATCCACCGTCACACCGTATTTCCCGCCCAGATTGCTGTCTTTTCAATCATCTCTTTGTCTTTCACCCCACACAGTGCCCATAGGGCTTGTTAGATGGGTCACCGCCTTGTTTGAAAAGGGTTTTATACAGACCACCCAGACCTGGGGACTCCTGAGTTCTCGGGACAGATTTTTCTTATTTTTTCTGCCCTTCCTTTGGCGGGGGAGTTAAGCACTGCTACAGTTGGATTTCCAGTTGTCCAATCATCTTTAGTGTAGAAGACTGCGAATAAGCTAGCCGGCCAGATGCATGCTACTATGCGAAGGTGCACAAAAGTTGCCTCGGCTACCATTGACTCTAGTCTCAGCTTCCCAATGACATACCTGACGCTGCTCCATACTTCCTTAGGTTCTTAATGTTCCGAAAACCTGCATGTGACTTTAGCTACTCTCGCTCTTATCACCCAACCTATGCGGATAGCGTACGCCAAGCGAGATTCCACACAAATCGTTCAACTGATTCACTGCCGTACAACCATGATTTATTTGAAAGCCTTATTGTAAAGAAAAGAGTAAAGGTGGACGGGGAAGGGACTTAGTGCTAGCTTAACACAATCATCTTGAGGTGCCTACACCTCCAGGCATTCACTCAGACAATCTGGTTAGAAACTGACACCAAGAACGCCACTGACATCGGTTGTCAGCCATATTTTGCAGTGTCTCCAACCAGACACAGTGCGAATCACGCGTTCCCCATCCTGGAAGGCGAGTAGCACAGACAGCACCCAAGCGTATCGTGATCTCCTTCATACTTCTCTGCCAAGTCAAGGGTATGGAGGAGATCACGAGACGATTGGGTGCTGTCTGTGCTACTCGCCTTCCAGGGTGGGGACTGCGTGATCCTCACTGTGCTTGATTGGAGACACTGCAAGATATGGATGCCAACCGATGTCAGTGGCGTTCTTGGTGTCAGTTTCTATCCAGATTGTCTGAGTGAATGTCTGGAGGTGTAGGCACCTCAAGATGATTGTGTTAAGCTAGCACTAAGTCCCTTCCCCGTCCACCTTTATTCTTTTCTTTACAATAAGGCTTTCAAATAAATCATGGTTGTGCGGCAGTGAAGCATCGGTGTTGAACACTGATGTCATGCTGTCGATGTTGATGATGACCCTCGCTCTTTCTTATTACCCAGCCTATGCGGATAGCGTACGCCAAGCGAGATTCCACACAAATAGTTCAACTGAAGGGCGTCAGTGCCGAAGTTCAGAAGCGTCGGGAAGAGGAACGTGAGAAGCGAAAACGAAGGAAGGTTGCTCAACGCCTGGCAGCAGCCGCCGCGGCTGCTCAAGCAGCTACTCAGGCAGCAAACGGTCCGGTAAGTTGCGCTATGATTGCTTCTGTTCTGTCAGAATTAGAAATATTCCGAGAACCCCATGTGTAACCTGTCTAGCTAGAAGTAGCTCAGTAGTTAGCGTGCGAACTTACTGATCGGAAGGTTCAAGGTTTGAATCCAACGTCTGAATCTCCATTGTTCTTGTTAGGATTGGACAACCGGGCAGTGTCTCAGCCCTCCCGCTTCTTTTGGGTGGCATGGCACCAGGCTGTCTATCCACTATACCAGATTTAGTCGCATAGAGCCGTGTGGTTCGCTTGAACCGTTTTCAGACAGGAAACCTCGTTTGCTTGTCGGGTGGCGGGCTGTATGTTCACCTTTTTAGACGTGTGTCGGCTGTGCTAACTAGTGCACCCACTGGATCCATCGAAGCCAAATTGCATTGTATGGTCGTTGCTAGCTTATACGTGTGTCGCGCAAGCGGTTCAGTATACTTCCTGCTAAAACACACTACTACTNTACTATTTATAGACTCTTGCATGCAAATGAGTAAATAGGACTGAATGAGCTTGCAATTGGAAATCTAGCTCCCACTATGACATCTTCGCGCATTCGGGTTCGTCCGGGAATAACAGATGCCGGTAACACTGGTACTTAAATATGTCGGCAATCGATTTCACGGTTTCCAATTTTTCAGACTTCACAGCCCGCCACTGAGAACGGAGCCTTTTTACAATCAATGATAGCTGTCGGATTATGCGCTTTTGGTGCCTTTCACCGTGCGTTTACCGCGCGTCATTTCGAACTATTTCCCCGCGGTGTGCCGCGCTGATGTCCGGATTTTAGAGCCATGTCCCTCAACGTTTTTAGCCATTAACAGTCTTTATCCTTCGGTGAACGCATCAACCGACGCTAGTCTTGTGGCATACTTCCTCACAACCATTTACCAGATCTTCGACTGTCCATCTGCAACCTTTCTTCAGCCGGACCTAACGCACCCAAACAAGATACCAAGTGGTAGTTGCTGACTGGTTGTTCGGCCCATGTGCCCGGAGCGTGCCTCGGCGAGATGGCTCAAGTGGTTAGAGCGTGAATTTACTGGCCGGAAGGTCCGTCCGTCGAACCCGACTTCTGCCTCTCGACTTCCCTTGTCTGGGCTTGGGCAACCTGGCAGTATCCCAGCCCTCGTGTTTTCTTCGGGTGGCATGGCAGCTAGGCACCGAAAGGGCGCTGAACGATAATAATAATAAGCGTGTGCCCGAATCATTTTAGTTGGTGTAGCAAGTTAACACTTTTGGGTCATCGGACGTCTGCTCCAAACGTGATTGTGTACTTCAGGAAGACTGTCAAAGGCGAGCAGTAGATTTGAGGCCAAGTTTTGCGTAGCGTCTTATAACCTGTCTTTCAGCGACCAGAAACTACTTAAAGCTGCAGTTTGTAGAGGTCAGTGACAGACCGGTATCACTGTATGAATCGTTTATAAAAGCCAGAACTGTAGTACACTCTACAACATGCCCTCCTCTTTTGGTTGGTCCGGGTGAATGACCGACTTCCAATATAGATTTGCAATCACATCACTAGTTACAGTCGTCTGTCTCAAAAAATGAAAGGCCAGACGGATAACATCCTAACTTGTAGGGGCGAGCCAGATCACCCTTTCAATATCCACCCTTTTTGGAGGAATCCTTTGACCGGTCCTGTCGGCGGTCAACCTACTAAGATCGTTCGATGGTATTTTAGTGATTGTATATAGCTTCTTTAGATGTAATAACTGCGGTGCAATTCGACTCATACTGGCTGCTTACTCTGGAGCTTTAAACCTATGATTTCATCCATGTACTCAACCGTCTTATTTTGTCCAACAGGCGGGAACTGGAGATGCCCTGAATTTATTGGACCAACCCAACAATATTCTGTTTGTAACAAATCTCCCGGAAGAGACAACGGATGCCATGTTGACCATGTTGTTCAGTCAGTTCTCCGGTTTCAAGGAGGCCCGGCGGGCACCAGGTGGCGTTTGGTTTGTGGAGTACGAGTCCGCTGAACAGGCCGCCGCCGCTCGCTCTGCTTATGAGGGATTCAAACTGACACCAACTCATGCGATGCAAATCTCGTTCGCCAAAAAGTGAACGACTTTGCTCTGATGGGTTCCGCGAGACGTGCTGCGTGTTTCCGCAAAGGTGACCAAGCGGTCCTGTACAAAATGTATACCATTTTTCATTCTTCGGTTTCTTTTTGTTAACCACCGGGTGACGGGTCCATTCAGTAGGCGGGGGTGCTGTTTTTGGGCGAAACAAATGGATTGGTTGAGTCCTCTTTACACCGTCTGCTTTGCTGTGTATGTGCGCCACGTTGCAATCAGAGGAAACCAATTAGTATCTGGTTCTGGCCAATTGGAATGTGTATTTATTCCTGTCACCAGGTCTCGTCGGATTATGGCGACTAGGTGCTAGCTCTTTTTAAGTTTAACAACTGCCCTGTGTCTCATTCGGATGTGAACCGTTCGCCTAAGAAAGACTTACAACTGAGGGTGAACTGAGCTTCTCGTTTTCCAAAAATGACCCATAGGGTTTCAGAAGAGCTTGGTAAACAATCGGTAGTTTTTATTTGGGCAACGTTTCGCTATTGACACAAAAGCTTCGTCAGGCTAAGTGAACCAGTCACCAAATTGACCAGGTTATAAGACAGACGGGGAGCCAATCAGTAAGTCTTCTCGTCTTCAAATCAGTGTCAAGTGTCAATTAACGGCCCTTGTCGGCTGGTGTGGGTGCCAAAATCTTGAATTGATGGGTTGGAGAGGTTCGGTTCCAATTTCGATCGCTTTTCCTTCCTTAATCTTCCACTTCAGGGTGCTTCACTTGATACTTCACCTCGGGTGCCGCTGTTAGGTTTTCCCTGGTCTTTGTGGGGTTGTGAGTGCTCCGACAATTTAGTTTGAGGGGGGTTGAGGCCAAGTGGATTTCAGATGATGACCACTCTTCCTTCTGATGACCGCACACCAACACGCGTCAGCTCGAGTGACCCAAGGCCGTTCTCCACACGCTAGCCAGTTCCACGCCTTCCATTCTGTTAACACTGGGATGCATGGCGATTTCTACCGCCTCGGCGATCAGTCTGTGTGACGTGGACCGTAGT